GCCTGGATGCCGCCCTGTGCCACATGCTCTAGGTGTGCCTGCTAGAGCAGGCAGGTTGGACTAGATGATCTCTGGAGGTCCCTTCCAACCTTAAATATTCTGTGAATCTGTGAATCTGTGAAGAGCCGAAAGCAATCCGATTCCCTTCACAGATCAGCAGGATGCAGCACCCGGTTGTTTACTTAGCACAATTTTACACAGACTAGACTGGACAAGTCATGAAACACTGGGCACAGGAGCTRAGAAATGCCGCTGCTAAAACGGCATGCGGAAAACTTTCCCGAAGGATGCCAGGAGTGTGTGTGGGAAGAGGGGGGAGTAAGCAGCAGCCGCGTCAGGGCYTCTCACAAACAGAAAGAGAAGAAGAGATGGTGGTTCTTCCTCCAGATTAGCTACTAAACATTTCAAATCAAAGCCTCTCTGGAAGTGGAACACAGGATGGACCCTGGAAGCAACTCTGCAGCTGCAGAGGGAGCCTCCCAGGGCTAAGCAGAGCCAAGCTCCCTGTCCGGACTGCCACRCGAGTTAACAGCCTAGATGCCCCCAGACTGCCAGAAAGCCTTGCAAAGTTTGGATTTTTTCCCCCTTTATCTCCTTTTGCTTGGTAAGAAAAGCAGCTCTCCTGACCAAACGGTGCCTGCCGAATCTCCCGGCGCTTGTGCCGTATCTGATGGCATCGGCCACGCTGCGCTCGGAGAGCCGCAGCTCCCCGCTCCCCAACGGAGCAGGTAAGGGCTGGACCCCTGGCCGTTTGCTCAGCAAGTGCCTCCGGAAGGGTTCGACTCCAGCTAAAAATGGTCTTTTCCAAAGCAGAGCTCCATAGGGACCCTACAGTAGAAAGCTTAAGGACAACCTCCAGGAATCTCTTAAATAAGGCCTCCATATATGCAGCCCCTGATTAATCCTACACATGCACATGTCAGGAAGTAATTCTTAAAGCATGTATATGCTGAGAGTTCATGTTGTTCCCCTTTTAAGGTCATTGAATCCACTCCAACAACTGAATAGCTTTCAATTGATAAAGGCTGGTGTTTGGTTTGTTTTTATTTGTTCTATGCTGAAATGAAAATTTTCACCCTACATGCGCATCAGCTTCACCCTCAGAAAGTGAAAATTTGATGCAGAAATGCCATTCTGTAAGAATACTTGCAGATTTTTTCTTAATTTGCTCAGAGAGGAGGGATGACAAAGAGTTTCATGCACGTCAATCAATCCCCAATGTGRGAGGCAGCAGCGCTAACTGGTCATAACATATTCAAAGATCAAGCYGATACCTTCAGCCCACCTCCTCTTTTCTCATCCCTACCACCATTCTTTTCCAAATTAAAATCAGAAGAGAAAACCACAGGCAAAGCAGAGAGCAGTAAAGAACATTTCAACAGCAGCCTGCACAGTTTGAGGGGCGATATTTCTTCCAGCTCCTCTAGTGCCTCGGTTTCCTCACRCCAACCAGAGCTTCTTCAGAGGAGCGTTCACCTCGGCTTCACCACGTTGGGTAATCCAAGCTCTGCAGCCCAGAACTGATGCAGTCTGGGTGATCCTTGGTGGGCCTCGGTCTTCTCAGCAGTGGCCAGTGACAGGACAAGGGGCAATGGGTGCAAGCTGAAACACAGGCAGTTCCATCTCCATGTGAGGAAGAGCTTCTTTCCTGGGAGGGTGCCAGAGCCCTGGCACAGGCTGCCCAGGGAGGCTGTGGAGTCTCCTTCTCTGGGGATCTTCCAAACCCGCCTGGATGCCGCCCTGCGCCCCRTGCTCTGGGTGTCCCTGCTGGAGCAGGGGGCTGGACTGGATGATCTCTAGAGGTCCCTTCCAACCTCAACCATTCTGTGATTCCATGATTCTGTGACTCTGTGATCCTGAGCCATGTGGGACTTGCAGAACGGGGCTGTGGTACCTGGAACCTCGGGGTTGGCCAGGGCATCGGATGCTGTAGCGAGCTGGGTGTTTGGCAAGGCAGAGCTGCGAGGGGAGAGAGTCTCCTGCCTGCTCCCAGCACGGGGCAGCCTCAACAGCCAGGTAAGCCCCCATGGCAGCCCCAGCACTTGAGCACAAGGACACAGCACCACCGGAGAGCTTCAGCAGAGGGGCAGCCCCCAGGGCTCTGGGAGCCGCTCACCAAGTGCCCCATGTCAGTTCGTGGCAGAGCCTCCTCCCTCGCCTGGGAGTGCAGCTCCCGCTAACGGGGCTCGGAGCGGGATGGGGAGCCCAGCGTGATGCCCAGACGCCTCCCGCGCCTGCCACCGCTTCCCCCTCCGCCTGCCCGGCCAGCCCCACGCTCGCTCCTAAAGCCGTGGCCAACTAGAGCGAGGCTTAAACTAGAGCGAGGCTTAAACGAGGTCGGCCGCCCCGGGGGGATGTCAGCGCCACCGCCACGGCTTGATGCACAGCACCGGCCCTGGGAGCAACGGCACCATGCGCTATTCCCACCTCTGCTCCCATCTCATCCCACCTTCCCGCTGGCGACGGCAGCACAACTGTTTGCAATGCCATGGGCTCAATGGGATCCATGAACCAGCCTGGGTTATAAATAACCAGGGGAAAAGGGGAACGCAAGGGTATTTTTAAGCGTGGAGCCGGGCCCACACTCTGATCCAGTTCTCCATCTGGCCGCAGGGGCCCTAGGGCCGGGAGGCTGCACGAGTGCTGRGAGGCGGATGGGGAGCGGGAGTGGACAGGATTATCCTAGGTCCACATCCACCCCTGAGGAAAGGGTGCCKGGAACAGCCAGGCTCGCTGCTAAAAGGCAGAGCTGACTCAGCACCACTCGGGAGAATTCACACCACAGTTTTAGCCCCCCCGGGCCCACCACTTTGAAGCAAAACACTTGGAATGTGTTGGTGAAGAGCTAGGATGGTTTTAAGCTGCGCGGCGCTAACGTGTCCAAACTCCTCCCTCTGCCCTTCATCCTCTARAAAACAAGGCGGGGAGCAGGAGGGCTGTGAGATAATAGAAGTGCCAAGACAAAACAAGTGTTTCCAAATCAGCCTGAAATCACAGAAAGTTTCAGAACAGAAGGCATCTCCTGCAACATGAGCCCAGCCCCACTCTGCGCAGCCCCTTTCAGTATTTTTTTCTTTTTTGCCCTGCACCCTCTCAATTGCAACTGTTTGTGATTAATACGTGCTATTAGAAAGAGAGAGAGCGTGCAGCACGGCCAAACTCACTGCGAGGGAAGGCGCCTGCGTGCTGCMCGGCGCAGTAAGCTGCCTTACTTAAAGCTGCTTGCAGCACGGGGGCAGCTTCTGCTGGGCAAAGAGCCCTTGCTTGAAGCCGGGGCACCTTCCTTCCTCTTGGCTCTGTCGACACGTTAACTGCAGCAAAACGGCCTCTTCAGGAAGGCGCTCTTTGAAATTTCCAGCTCCAAGCTGATCTTTATCAGGCTGCYTTACAAAGTAAGAATGTTGCTCTTGCTCTTGGCAGACACAACAGCTTGAGCTGGAGACGGGCAGTCACCCCGTGCACCCATCGCCGGGTGATACGGAGACGGGAGCGGAGCCCTGTGCACTGACCTAACCCTATCCTTGCTTCCCTCCCTCTCCTCCCTGTTCACCCATTTCTCCCCATCCAGGCTCCCAGGAGCCTGTGTCCAAGTCCATTTTCACTTGTCAGGACCTATTCATGCACCATTAAAGCATAAAACACTCTGCAGCGATATCCCTGTTCCTGCTATATGGAACCAGTTTGCCAAAGAACCTCTGCTTCCTGCAATGCACTCGGAGCACTACCATAAATTTTCCAGTATAAGACAAAAGTATGTTCCCAATATATGACTGAGGAGTTTAATAAGGTGCTTAATTCCAAAAGGCACAACCTCTTTGCAGGAGCGCACTGTCACTTAAACATGGTGCATATTGCACAAAAGGAGCCCACCAGATTTCAAATCTGGAGCTGCTGTGTTAATTTGCAGATACAAATCTATGAGGCATAAATGGAATCTACAGGGAATAACCCATTCTTTTTTCATTGGTTTTAGAAACTTTAAACTCATTGCTTTCTGAACAACATAGCCTCCGCTTACAGGACATCCAAGGATTCAAATACAGGCATTTCTATCTTTTATTTCTTGGACTGGGTTAATTTCCCATCTTTCCCATTTAAGCTCCACACGAAATCCCTCTGGGTCAGTTACAACTACTGCTTTACACTGCTGAATTCTGCCAGCAATCTGCTCCTCATTCCAGCAGATGTTTCTGCTTTCAGGCTTCTGGGAACTTCACTGGACCCATTTCCTTTGAATAACTGTATACCCTTTTTAGGCTGCAAATGTACCAGGGAAAAACTACCCTCCTCCACTTCAAGCAGCCTCCTCATCTTCTTCTGCAAGGCAGATGCAAGAAGAAAGAAAGAAGAAAAGGGGGGAGTGGGGAGTCTGTCCCCTTTGCGCACCCCTTCTCCTGAGAGCCTCCTGAGAGGGAAGCATTGCACGTGCTGCTGCGTCCCAAGCAGTTTGTGCCCAGGGGCCCCGGGAACACACAGAAATCTCATGAAAAGCTTGAGGGGTCAGGTCCTGCAAGCAACAAGCCAGCGTCTGAACGCGAGAGCCACGTCCTTCAAGGCAAGCATGAGTTAAGCCATACACCAGCCCGTGTTGCCCAATTTTACCCTTGCTGCTTGTATCTCTACTCACCTCCGTAACGTCCATGACCTTGATGGCYGCCAGCTGGCCCGTTTTGACATGCCGGCCCTGCAAAACAGAGAGGAGCGTCAACACCAGTGTCTCACTCCACAGCAGCCCCCCAAAACACCCCGAGTTGAACAGCCACGTGGCAGCTGCGACGCGGGGCTTTGCCCACCCCTGCTGGACCTTGAAAACAGCCAACCCTCCAGATTAGTTGAAAAAGAAAATTCCCTTCGAAACTTGTGTTCTTGCACACAATCCTGCAGGCTGCTGTTTTTCTCCACACCGAAAGGACGACTAGGAAGATGAAACGCAAAGAGGATCCCTGTGCAGCTGCCTGCCTGCCTCCTTCTGCAACACCCCAAATCAGCCCTGACAGCTCCTCAGCATTCAGGAACTGCAGGTTTTACTTCCAGGCACCATTTCTTGGCACCCGGGCGATACCTCACTTGGTAAACCCAACCTGCTGAGGTGGCTGAGAAAGGACAGTTCTCCCTGGTCTTCATGAGGCAAGAAGAAGACATGGTCTCACCCGTGAGCAAGGACACGTGTACCCGAAGCTGCAGTAAGGGATCCAGCTGCTGCCAGGGGCAGCTCTCACTCTTCTCTGCTATCTCCCACCCTTCTCCTGTCCCTTATTTCTCTAATGAGCATCCAGCTCCTTCAGGTGCTCCTCCAATCATATGATAAACTGGTTAGGATGACTAAAATGGCAGAAAGCTAATGGAAAAAAAATCCAACTGCAGGCGGCAGGGGGTGGACACAAGAAGAGCGAACAGCGAACGGAGCTGGTTTGCTCTGCAACCAGAGCAGGGCCAGGGCGGCTCCGGGCCTCCTTCCCGCACTTCCAAGGTTCATTCAGCTCCGCTGACTCGTGAAACCATCCCATAAAACTTTTTGCTCCAGTATAATTTTACAGGGGGGTAAACATTAGCTTTATTTTTTAAATAGGCACTTAGCAAGGTTCTAATATTCATATTTTCCCTGACTCCACTTACGCACCACAGTCCACACAGACTTGTAGTCAAGGAGTCTGATCTCCCAGAGCTTTTCCCAAGCCACATCTCCAAGGGCCCTCCTCCGAATTCGCCCGCTTTCCAACCAGGAAGARGCACCACCACCTACACTGCTGGATTCCTCCTCTCCCACAAATAAAGCACAATATAAAAAAGATCCCCACACCACTGCATTCCACCCAAGTTCCAGTTTTCTTTACAGTCTTTCTTCTCACTGATAGTTCTGAATTTCCCAGGCAGAAGCATACATGGACATATATGTTGGAGTTGGTGGACACTAATGCTACTCTTTTTCCTGCAGTGACCTCTTCATATCTTCACAGTTCTCTCMAGGTTGCCCCTCCATAAGCAAAGCATCCCGAACCACCAGTTTATTCGGAATCACATAGGCCCCTTCATACCCTCCATGTGGGGAATGTYCCCTTACTGCTGATGTGTTACAAAGGAATGGGATCACAGGCTGCAGGAATCGCAGCATCCCTTTCCTCCTGCACCTTCTCCCCGTATTAACCAACCCGCAGGATTCCTATAAATAAATTACTCAGGCTTCTGCCTGTTCCATAAAGTCTCTTTATTACACGCACTTCTTTTTATAGTTTGGCCTCAAGATAGYCTGGATTTTGAAACAAAGTGAGGGCCCCAGCGTGCAGCAGTGGCCGGCCCTGCCTTCCCCCCTCTTCTTTGGGATCTGAAGCCATGGAGAGGGACAACTCACGTTTCCCACCTTGGACCTCTGCCCACACGTCCCCTCCTGAAGAGCTACCACCACCAGGGCAGGAGGAAGAAACGCCCCACAAGCTGGTGGGGAAGCATCTCCTCCTGCCCCAGCTCTGCCCCTCTCCTCCTCCGCCCCGTGCAAGGAAGGGGCAGGCCCAAGGGGGACGCTGCGAGCGCAGAAAGGACACGCTGAAGACACRAGGGGAACGCGGCGAAAGGGAAGCAAAGAGAAGCCACAACGCTGAGGCGCGCCGAGCGAAAGGACACCTTTCAGACAAACACACAGCGAGACATGACTCGGCGCCAGGGAACCGGGCAGGCCAAAATGGCGGCCGAGCGCCCTCCCCACACGAGAAGCGCCCCACGGAAGGCGGAGGAGGAGSAGGAGGAGGAAAGCAGCCCGCAGCCCACGGGGTGCCATGTGCTCTCGGACAGGCCTGCCTCACCCGTCACTTTTAAAGCCTGGGAGCTGCCGTGGGACTCGCTCTTTCCAGAGAGGGGCGGCGAGTTTCCYGGGGCTCCGCTTCGCAGCGCCGCTGGAGACGCTCCGGCCCGCTCCGCACCAGGGGAATTGCAGGCTGTGGGAAACACGGCATTCCCAGCATCCCAGGACAAATTTAAACCCCGGTCATCCCCAGAATAACGTTAAAAAACGTCTCCAGACTCTCACGATTTACCGAGCGCTTCACGTTTTCAGCACCCGCAGGGTGCATGGGGTGGAAGGGGCTGACACGACAAATTGATTTATTTGGGAGAAAAGGACAGTCTGAAGGCACATACATCTTATTAGAAACATTTCCAGGAGGGAGGAAGACAAGCAAACATCACGAGCAGGGCATACAGGCACGAGCAGAGCTTTTGTTTGTTTATCTCTTTTAAGAGCTCCGCTCAGGACCAGGCTTGCCAAGCTATTAGCACGGCGGCACCGCTCTGCTCGTGACAAGATATGGCTGAGTGCTCCTGTTCTGGCAGCTGCTCTTCAGATTTCCCTCACCAGCATCAGCTCCGGAAAGATCGGTCCAACTGGAAATAAAGGAATAACGCCAGAAGCGGCCGGGCGCAACGGAAGCACTGCCGGAGCTGCAGATGGGCGAAACTCTTTGGACTCAATCTAGTCGGACTGAAATGTGTCCGGATCCAGAGTCCCGAGGCGACTGGGCAGCCTGTTCCAGGGCTCTGTCACCCTCACAGGGAAGAAGTTCCTCCTCACATGTGGATGGAACTACTTGTGTTGCAACTTGTACCCATTGCCCCTTGTCCTRTTGCTGGCCCCCACAGACATGGCCGGGAAACGGTCCCCTCTTTTTTGGAGGATCTATTTATACTACAGTGCACGTTTCCTCACTCCAGGAAGGAATGAGACAAATACCACACKGTTCTAATTTTAAACTAGCCCAAAACAGCGCTGGAATGGGCAGGTCGGTGGAGCTGAGCCCACACACCCCAAATCCTGGAGCCCCAAATCTGTTCCTTCTCATGCGGACGGCAAAAAGTCACTTACACGTGCAGGATGGTAAAACGCAGCTCTTCACATCAAGTAACGCTCCACACAAACTCCGAGCAACATTTAGGCGCYTCCTAAGCGAGCGGCACTACTTAAACGTATGACCACTCATATCTGATAGCAACACACTGTTTATTTCCCCCCTCAGGGGGCTTCCCGCCGGCCGAAGAGCCATGGGGACAAGGGGAATCCGTGGCAGGTTGCCAGGATCTGCAGAGCATTGCAGGCCTCAGCCCTGTCCACACTCTCCAAGCCAGTCAACACGCCTGCTTCTTGCCTCTTGCCTCCTTTCCATACACTRTTACCACCAATTTTTTGTTTTGGAAAGGCTCAAAAGCAACTACTGTATACACTGAGTTTTGTTTTTGCCTTTTTTYCCCCCTAAGATGTCTTAATATTAAAGATATATGCAAATTAAATTAAAAAAATCCCATCAGCTCATATATCTTCTTGCCCCATTACTGACCCAAGTCATGTATTCCACGTCATTCTAAATCTCGTACCACCGCAGCGTCTCCATCCTATGTAATCGTGTGTCTTTGGGAGGGCTGCTCCGAGAAGTTTTCTCTCCAGCTAAACGGCAATGAAGAGGAATATGGGATAATATCAAGGAAGAGGAATATGGGGTAATACCCCAAACTGAGTCAGGAAGGCAGCCCATACGAGCCCTAACTTGCAGGCTGGGCTTCTCCTGCTCCCTGCTCACCATGGAGTCCTTGGGGAGCCCTCCCCGGCCTGCCCTTGTCTAACCCTGAGCGTCACTGCTGCAGAGAGAAGAGCACCCGAGCTGTGAAAAACAACCCACTAGCTCCCATTTCAGTTGCCACAGCGTCTGCACGAACTAGGCTAGGCTTCGTCATGCCATCCGGTGCAAACTTACCGCTGTGCCCCCTCTGAGGACTGCGCGGTGCCAACATTAACTTTTCAATTTGCTTCTCATTTGCAGCAGATGCTGAACTCCTCACAGCGCCAGGCAGCAGCCCCTGCAGCGACGCTCTGCTGTGGGGCTGCCCCCTTGCAGTGACTGGTAACTGCAGCTGCAGTGCACCCTTGCAGTGGCTGTAAGTGGAGGTGCAGTGCACACAGAAGCCTTGAGACCAGCCCAGGAGCCCAGGTCCACAAGGTGCTGCTTCCCACCGCGCTCGGAAAGACCAGGCATATCCTGCAGCCAACAGCAGTAGCGCTTCAGGAGGAAACACTATGTGTATTTTTGGGAGACAGAAAGAATTTAGCACACAGCAAAAGCAACTTCCATGTTAAAAAAAAAAGAGTTCTCAGGTAAGAAGTCTGTCTAGTTGCATTCTCAGTCAAAATGATGCTATTCCTACCAATAATGCGTTCTGTAATCTAAGCAAAATGTGCAGAAAGGGGGTAATGGTTCTCTGGCACAGAAATGCTTTCTAAAATAAAAATTGTCAAAATCAAACTTCAGGGTAATGGAAGGTCTAGCAAACCACCCCAAAAACACAGGGAGGGGACACAAAAAGGACTCAAACCAGTCCTCTTTTTTCCCTTTTAAATGAATTCTAAACCAAAATCAACCAGAAGCTATTAAAGACTCCCAAGGTTCAAGTCAAAAAAACAGGATGGGGTTTCTGTGTTTTTCCTCCAGCTCCTGACATCAAGTGYCTAGAAAGCAAAGCAGAACATACAGTCTCTATCCTGCTTTAGATAACAGCAACGACAATTTACAATGAAATAGGAATGACAATTTACTCATACCTAGCACTGAGCAAAAAGATGCAGCCTGTGAGACCTTTGAGGAAAAACAGAGTCTTTACGCACAGATTTGATGCTCCTACTACCAGCTTGGAAGTTGCCTTCC